CTGGATATGGCCCGGATCCGGCTGACTACATCATGCGTTGTGGTCGTGTCTAAGCGCAGGTCCACCATCTGATCTGGATACGGCCCAGATCCGGCTGACTACATCATGCATTGTGGTCGTGTCTTGGCACAGGTCCATTATCTGATCCGGCTGACTACATCATGCGTTGTGGTCGTATCTAGGCGCAGGTCCACCATCTGATCTGGATACGGCCCGGATCCGGCTGACTACATCAGGCATTGTGGTCGTGTCTAGATGCAGGTCCACCATCTGATCTGGATACGGCCCGGATCCGGCTGACTACATCATGCATTGTGGTCGTGTCTTGGCGCAGGTCCACAATCTGATCTGGATATGGCCCGGATCCGGCTGACTACATCAGGCATTGTGGTCGTGTCTAGACGCAGGTCCACCATCTGATCTGGATATGGCCGGATCCGGCTGACTACATCATGCGTTGTGGTCGTGTCTACCCGCAGAGGATACATCTCAAGGATACATCGCGAAACTGAAGGCTTATTTACAAGCTGGCATTTCGTTTCGGGGAAGCTCAGCTGCCTGGCGCCCGTTGGATGTGGTTCACCGGTGTCTCCGTCCTGTTTTCCCCCTGCACCTGAGTCCTGTCGCCCGGGCTGATCTCCATGATTATAAAAATTTTAAATAACTCCCTCTCCTCACGCTGCCGGCTTGTCCCAGTAACGGCCTACGCCAGCTTTGAAGCTCAGCTTCTCCACCCAGACTGGATTGGTCCTGTCTGTCTAGGGGTGATTTACCACCCTCCAGATTCTACTAAGGAATTTATTCAGCAATTTACTGAGCTTATCGGCAATATTGCCACAAACTATGATCGCTTCCTACTGGTGGGGGATTTTAACATTCACGTTTGCGGTCTCTTAAAGGTACAATATGTAGGAATTTTTCGCCACAAGAGGGCGCAGTTACCAACAATAACAAAGGCGAAGCTTGATGACGCTATGAGGGAGAGTTGAACGATGGGAGAGATCGTTTTCACCATCCAGAGATGTTATGGAATTAATGAATCATGATCACGGATGAGGTAATTTATTTGTTTGTGTATTACCTGTACGTCTGATCGCAATATTTTATGTCACCATAATGAATTAACTGCAAGGAACGCGAAATGTTATGCTATATTATCCTGTTACAGCTAACTTATTTGTAAAATGATTTGTTGGGTTAATGCTGCGCAGTTTTACGGGTTTATGGTTAATGCCGTGTTGTTTTACGTGTTCAAACCAATCGTACTCAAACTAAATTTGAACGAACATTTGCAAGTAATGGCTAAATATTGTTTAACAACACATAGCCGATTGTATTTAATTGCACTGCCATAATCTCGGTCAAAAGACAAATGGGATAAAAAGCATTACCAAAGTACAAAGAGCAATATAACTGTGAATTTTCATCAGCATAACGATCACTTGATAGTTTTTGAGGTGAATCATATGCATAATGATTGATCTGTCACATCATATAGGCCTATGTATCTCGCATTGTTTATAAGTGATATTATTGACAGTTGCAAGGAAACACAGATACATCCTTTTGTTTTATGTACATTTGCTCACCTGTCTAATAAAGTATATGCAAGAGCGGTGTTGCTCCAAGTTAGTCGCGGACAGGGAGCTCTCGGCATCTCGAACATGCCACGCCGATATTGATCCTCATTTTAGTTCTCCTTTTTTTTGTCCCAAAGTCTGCTTGCCATGGTCCAGAATGATTGAACGAAAACAACAACAGCGTGCCGCTAAACGTTACGCACTACGCAGTTGTACATGTCTGTCGCCATGGTTATGTCATGGCTATAGCAGTACGAGCGGAAACCGAGGAAATCGCGGATATTGCATCATTGACTGACAGGCGACATTTTTTTCCGGGATGGCCACTTATTTAAAATTGGAATTTCTCTGAAATAAAAAATCTATGGAGACTTTTGGGATATTGTAAGTACACAACTGCAGGAAATATATCACACTGTGCAAGTGATTTTTTGATATTTTATTACAAAATTCCTACATATTGTACCTTTAAATTCCTTGTTGCAGGAGTTTGTTATTTATCAGTGGATCAAAAACTTTACTCATATTCAGGGCCATACATTGGATCTTCAACGGGCTCGATGTCACTGATATTGTGTTCTCAGGTTTTCTGCTCTCCGATCATAAGCCTATTTTATTCTCACTGTTTCTCCCGGAGCTCTCTCTACTCACTATTGTACCTGTTACATTGTCGCGTTTAGCACAAACTTCGATCTGTGCTTTGCTAAACTATGCTCACACTTGCACTTGGATCAACCATTATCTGACCTGGATGCGGATCAACATCTCAGCCTTTTAAATTCTGCCTGGCTTTAGGTAGCAAATGTAACTGCACCCCTAAAGCCTCACAAGTGCAAACCAAAAACTGAACTGTGGCAAAACTCTGACACTCATCACCAAAGACAAATTTGTAGAAAGGCTGAACGCAAATGGAAACGGGACAGGTTACATGTCTCATTCCAAATGTTCAAAGACTCTCTTACTTCATACCAGAATGTTGCTAAGTCTGCGAAGGCTGCTTATTTTTCTAATTGAATCCAATCACTCTAACCCAAAGGTCATCCAGTCTGTTGTAAAGCCATCTGTTAACACATCGTCTGTTGCCTCAGGTGCTCTATGTGAAGACTTCCAAAGATTTTTTATTAACAAAATCACTAAATTAAGACTAAGTGTCTGCCCTAATTTATCTGCTCCCCCCAATCTCGACACCTACTTCTGTTTTTTGGGAGGTTTTTGATCCTATCAACTTCCAGACACTAAAGGATGTGATTGTTAAGCTCAAACCTTAATTTTGTCCTAATGATATCATTCACCCGAGATTTTTTTAAGTAATCGTTGATTCGGTTGGGCCAGGTATGGTATCCCCTTATCAACAAGTGTCTCAAAACAGGCTCTGTTCCTGTCCATGTTAAAGTGGCTATGGTCACTCCTCTGCTCAAGAAGCCTTCAATAGGTCATGCGGTTTAACAAAAAAATCAAACTATCTCTGTCTTACCTTTCATTTCTAAGCTATTGGAGCTCTTGTTCTGTCCTGTCCTGTCCTGTCCTGTCCTGTGTGATTCGTGTGGAAGCCTCTCCTCGAGCCGGTATATTTATCCGTTCTCTTACACGCTCACTGAACTCTGCCCTGCCAATTCAGACGCTGAGTTCCTGACCAGACACGGTATCCAGTCTACGGTACCCTCGCTCTCGGCGGGTCTCTTCTCCCTCTGCAGTCTCCACTGGGACCTCTGCGCATCAGGAGATCCTGTGACAAGCTATTTGCAGTTTATGTTCTATTTCTTAATATTTCTATTTCTTTAAGTTTTCTGTTTCGACTGTTTCCTGAGAATCCTAAGAAGATTTAAGTTCCTTATTGATTCGCTTCTCATTTTCATTAAAGACTGTATTATTGTGAATCTCGCCTTTTGGTCCTCCATCTCTCATAACATCTAAACGATATTTCTCTCTATACTGATTCTGGAGACCCTGTGGTTCTTGTTCTCTTAGATCTTTCTGCAGCTTTTGATATCATTGACCACCCTACTCTTTTAGCTAGACTAGAGACTTGGGTGGGTCTAACAGCTTCTGTTCTGACATGGTTTCAGTCATACCTGTCTGACAGAAAGTTTTTAGTAAAGATGGGTAATTTCTCCAGTTCTGCTCCGTTATTCTAAGGAAACATGGGGTATCCTTTCGTTTTTACACGAACGACACCCACATTTATATTCCAATCACGAGAAACAACCCTGTAGCGTTCTCTTCTGAATTTTCTTCAGAAAATTCTCTTCTGCTATGCTTAGAGCCCAAAATTTCCTCTTTCCAAATGAAGACAAGACTGAGGTCATTCTTTTTGGCCCAAATTAACATTCTCAGTGTATAAGCACTGATTTATATCGGCTTTTAAATCCACAGGAGTGCGAAACTTAGGTGTTCTTGTCGACCAGCCTCTAAAATTTGACAAACACATTTCATCCGTAATCAGTTCTAGTTTCTACCATCTTTGTCAACTGTCTAAAATCAAAGGCTTTCTCACTCCGAAAACTCTTTTCATGCATTTATTATGTGTCGGCTAGATTACTGCAATTCCTTATATTGCGGTATATCAAGTTCTCAAATTGCCCGTCTTCATTAAGACCAAAATGCTGTGGCCAGACTTATAAGTGTCACAAATATGACCACATCTCTCCGATTCTCAAATCTCTATATAACATAGCTCCTGCTTATCTCTCTGAACTCGTTCATCCTTACACTCCGTCCAGAAGCCTAACCCCTCATTTACACTGCATACGTGTGCGGCGCATTACGGCTGCGACACGGCTACCGGAGCTGATCGCGGCCATTCTAGTCAATGCGTGTGTTTACACCGGCCGCGGAGCGGCGCGTTTCAGAAGCTTCCCAGAAGCGGCTCTCCGCGCCGCTTCGCTAAATATAGGCGCCTAGTCTATTTTTGACGGACGCGCGTCCAAGTCGCACCGGAAAAACAAAATAAAAGTCAAAAAACCCTGTCAATTTCTTATTGCACGTATATTGGCAATATATCCTTGGTAGGAGACCAGAAATGGACGACGAGAGATTCATCCTGGAAGTTGAAAAACACAGTGTTATATGACACCACAAATCCTTTTTACAAGGACAATTCCAAAAAGGACAAAGCATGGAGTTTGATTGCACAAGTTGTAGGAGTGGAAGGTGAATACAATAACCTCCTAATTATCTTCCTACTACATGATTTTAAAAAGTAGCCTATATAACCATTGAGTATTTATGCATCTTGAAAACCAATTAAAATGTCAAGTAACTTTGCATTACACAGGACAGGACCTAGATATTAGTACAAGTACATAGACCCTTTGTTAATATGTAGGCTATGAGTTTTTTCAGTTAGGCCTAGTTTAATGTAAAAACAAATCTGATTTTAACATTTTATTACTTACCTATATGTTTTAAAAGTAGGTTACTATACAAGAACTTCACTAATGTTATTACAGGAGCCTATATACGTAGCCTACTGCCCTGTGTAAATTCTGTTCAGATACAGTACTGTTGGGAAGGTGCTTGGACTTGCACTCTCGAGCTTTTCAAATGCTAATGTGAATTTGGTGGGAGTGACATTACCTCTTTTCAATTGAATTGATAGTTTAACACACCAAAGTTCTCAAACAAAAACTTTATTTTTTTTATTTTTTGCCAAAACACCTTTTTATCAATACAGCATACTTGTCTTTTGGGATCATAATCACTTATCAGCTTTTTACAATCCTAGCATGATACTTCAATAAGCTTTGAAGTCATGCCTTTTGATCACACCATCCTGTTCTGCCATGACACACTGTCTTCAGGAGAGGTAAAGCAGGTGCAGAAGACCTCCCTCACATTACAGGCCTCTGCTGATGCCCTGTTTCCTCCCATGTTTCTTACTGGTGCCATATGTCTCCCCAGCTGCTCTGCCTCATCCAGCAAACTCTGTTTTTCGCTGGGGACAAGCAGGAAATTGTGAAGGATGCATGTAGCCATCACAAGTGTGTCAACATTTTTTGGTTGCAGGTTGATTCTGTTAAGAAATATTCTCCACCTGGAGGACAGAATGCCAAAGGCATTTTCAACCACCATCCTTGCTCTTGAAAGTCTGTAGTTGAAAATCCTCTTTTTGTAACTGAGGTTTGCTCCGGGGTATGGTCTCATCAAGAATGGTTTGAGTTGGAAAGCTGCGTCACCAACCATGACGAATGGCACATCACCCAGGTGGGCAGCACCAGGTAGAGAGGTACTGGGTGGCACATGCAAGGTGTTGGTCTCCATTCCCCTCCCCAAATCCGAACTGGCGTACACACCACCATCGCAGGTTCTTCCGAAGTCCCCCACTTGAATGAATCGGAACCTGTAGTCAGCATCCACAAGCGCCAAAAGCACTATGGAGAAGGTCTTCTTGTAATTGAAGAACTGACTTCCAGACAGTGGTGGTGCTTGTATTATTATATGTTTGCCGTCTATTGCTCCCAAACAATTTGGGAAATTCCATTTTTCACAGAATCCTTGGGCCACCTCTTTCCAAGTGTCTTGTGTTGGCCTGGGTAGGAAACTCTCCATCATCACCTTTTCAATGGCTGCACACACCATATGGACAGAGTTCATGACAGTTGCATGCCCTAGGCGATAGCTGAATGCTAAGCTGACCATTGAATCTCCAGAAGCCAAGTATCTGTGAGGGAAGAAACAAAGGAAAAGTATTGTATTCATCTTTGTGTGTCTTCTTTGTTTCAGTCGACATGTGCAGTGCGAGATGGAAAACATTAAGTGATGCTTTTGTGAAAAACAGAAAAAATAAGAATCTGCCTAGTGGATCAGCAGGTGGAAGTCAAAAGGACTGGAAATATTCAGAGATAATGTCCTTCCTTTTGCCCCACTTACAGCCAAGAAGGTCTGTATAAATTTCAAACATGTAATTTACATTAAATTTAACAGTGATAAAATATTGTTGACTAAAGCAACAGTGTAATTTTTCAATTGTTATTAAAAAGGTGGTAAGAAAGTATAACTTGCATGTATAACGTTCCTATGGATTTTTTTTTTTTTTTTTGCATGGGCATAAAGAAATTGCAGTGACTAACTAGATGGGTAAAGTTAGTAGACAAACTTTAAGTTGGCTTGAAAAAGACTAGCCAGAAAGTTTGAAAAAGTTTTAAAAGCTTAAAGTTTTAGATAGATCGATAGATAAAGTAGGTTGGCTTTCTCAAATCAACTTAATTATTGTGTTTTTGCTGTTGCTTTTTATACAGTTCGAAAAGCAACTTGACCCTGCAAATAGTCTATGTCAGGGGCGGGTCTACGTGGTGGCCAGGGGGGGCACCGGCCCCCCCTGAAATTCGATTGGCCACCCCAGGTGCCCCCCCCTATAAGATGCCTTGTGATTGGTTCATTTTACGGCCAATCAGTTTATAGACTCTACTGAAGTTGTGATTCAAAGAAGTGCAGCGCCAGAGAAACAACGGTCGTCGCGGACTTGGACTGTTATATTATCAAGTGTGGGAATGTCAAGACACCAAACAAAGAGCTGGTAGGTAACTTTTATGTATGGTTTAATATGTTTGTATGGTTTTCTCAGATCAATGTTTTTACCCCGGCCGTCAGGCTCTGCTCGCGTTGGTCGTGGTTGATTTCAATCCAATGTTCAGTCAAAGTTTAATAAAACACATTAAAAGTAAAAAAGCTGGGCACTATCAAACAATAAACACTGTCATGGTGATTTGCATATTTTGTATCAGTTTATTTTGTGACAGTGACCACATAGGAAGATTGCACCAAATGACAATATGCACAGAATGTTCCAAAAAACAATAAATGATAATAATAATAATTGTCTGGTGACACGTAACGTTATGTTACTTGTTAATGCATGATGAGAGTAAGTCAGTTAGATAGTCAGTTAAATTGTCAGTCCTAACTTAGTCATTTACACGTGAAATGACATGGATGCATTCTGTGCATTTCATTCACAATTTGAACAATTTTTGTTGAGATTGAGAATAACAGACACACACAAGTGTTTCTTTTTTGAAGGCAGGGAAGAGAACAGTGCCAAGCCATGAAAAGAAGTAAAGATATAGGGAGTTTCTTTCAAAGAAAACAAAACAAAACAAGTGTAGAGGCAGAAGCAACTGAAGAAAATGTTACTGGCCAAGAAGAAAATGTCAGGCAGCAAGAAAAAATTGTCACTGGAACAGAATCAGCCAGCAAGGAATCAACAGGCCAGACAGACAGTGATGCCAGTGGACCCAGCCGACAGCAGTGGCCTTCATTTTCCTCTGTGCTTCCTGCAACTTCAAGTATGTGAAGTGTTGAGGGAATTGTAGGGATATTTAATAAATAGTACATTTCAATTGTATGAAGCAAACTAAAACGCTAGTAATCATTGCATGTACATGAATTTGCCCTAAAAATACCATGAGCATATTTATTCTGCTATAGTAGTCACAGAGCTTGTTTTGTTTTCTCATTGATGCAATATTTACTTGTGACATTTCATCATTTCTCAGGATCAACGTTTGGTGGGGATAAACAAGCACCTTCATCCCCAACAGAATGCAAAGGTATGTATAGTTGTAGTTGAGACCTGAAAGTTCTTTTGCACATGTTCAGCAAGTGATGTTAAATGATGTTTGACGTCTACTCTGTTGATTATTATTTTACTGTATCTGCAGATAATTCAGCTGTAAGTGACCTGTCTGAATTTGAAGACCACGAAGAAACTTTGTGTCAGCATAGGTCAGGGGGTGATGGTGACAGACCTCAGGCACTACATGCCAACATCTCCACAGATCGCATTCTGCCAGGACCACATGGTATGCTCCAGGTTTTTTTTTTACTGACATATTTCTAGAAGGTATTGTCTAAATGGGTGTTAATGATGAGCTTGTGTATTTTAGTTAAATTCCTAAAACCTTAAAAATGACCGATTGCCTTCATATTATTGGAGGGTCTATGGTTATGTAACTAACTTTCATTCAAACTTAATTTGCAGAATCAATTGTATGTATTCTAGGTTGATTTAATTGACAAACTACACCTTCTGCACTTATAATTATTTTAATTATTACTCATTGTTTAAATTGTTTGAGGACCCCTGGTAGGCTAGTCATCGCTATAAGAAGACCATTCTCTTTATTTGCAGACATTTCACAGTCTCGGGCAGCAGGACCAACACAGCCGCACTTGAAGGTGTTCCCTCGAACCATGAAGGGCGACCGGAAAAGAGCTTTCAACAAAATGTGGTACACACAACACCAATGGCTGGAGTATTCTGAAAGCCGAGACTCTGCATATTGTTTTCCGTGTCGACACTTTTCTCTCCCTGGTATTCAAGAGACTTCATTCACATCATCACTGGGCTATTCTAACTGGAAGAAGGCAATGTATAAAGATGGAGGTTACAGGGGACATGAAAAATCTGAAAATCATGTTAATGCCATGATAGCATGGAATGAACACAAAAAAAGAATCTTGACAGACACTTCAATGTTAAATGCCCTCGATAAGAAACACCAAGAAGTAGTCGAACAAAATCGTACCTACATTAAAACAGTTGCTGAGGTACTTTTGTTTACTGCAACGCAAAACATTTCACAAAGGGGACACCTTGAGACCGATGCATCTACAAAAAAAGGAAACTTTTTAGGCATTATGGATTTGATTGCTAAGCATAGTCCACTAATTGACAAGAAATTAAAAGCTGTGGGGAATGCAAAATACACAAGTAACACTATACAAAATGAAGTTCTTGGATGTCTGTGAGATATGGTACGGGAAAGCATCGTCAGTGAAGTCAAGGAAAACAAATATTTTTCCATCATTGCAGATGAAACAAAGGATTTAAAAAAGAAAGAGCAACTGTCATTAGTACTTAGGTACTATTATAATGGTGCAGTCCATGAAAGCTTCCTTGATTTCAAGCAAGCTACTGAGCTTGATGCAGAGGGACTCACTCAAAAAATAATACAATGCCTGGAGACGTATGGACTTGAGTACAGGTCAAATCTAGTGGGGCAAGGCTACGATGGGGCGTCAGTCATGTCAGGGAGACACTCTGGAGTTGCAGCAAGGATTAAAGCTAAAACAAATCACGCTTTTTATGTGCACTGCAACGCACATTGTCTTAACCTTGTTCTCGTTGACTCAACAAAATCAGTGCCTGAGTCTGAAACCTTCTTTTCTTTGCTACAGAAATTGTATGTGTACATGTCAGGCTCCTATGTGCACCAGAAATGGCTCTCTGTGCAAAAGGAAATGTATCAAGGTGCCCCAAGAGAGCTACAAAGGCTCAGTGACACCAGGTGGGCATGTCGGTACCAGGCTTGCAAAAACATTAAGGACAGACTGCCTGCTGTATTGCGTGTGCTACATGATATTGATGTGGAGAACAGAGGAGAACGCTCTGTGGAGGCACGGGGTTTACTTGCCCAACTGGATCTTACCTTTATCGGAACACTTGTCATCTTTTCAAAAGTCCTTGGAGAGGCAAAATTCCTTGCAGACATTGCAGACAAATGTCTGCAGACAAAAATTCCTTGCAGACAAAATTCCTCGTTGACCCCACAGTCAACGTCTCTTGATTTAGCGAAGGCCGTGGACTTAGTTGAAGCATTTAAAGACACCCTCCAAGACCTAAGAAGTGATTCATCTTTTGATGAAATCTGGAAAGACACTGTAGACACTGGAAAGCAGTGCAATGTTGCAGTAGAAACTGTGGTGAAAAGACCACAAAAAATTTGTTCTAGATTGAGCGGGTCAATTGTTGAATCCACTGTTGGACAGCGGAGGTGTAAGGAAGGAGACATGGAACTTTTCAGAAGTGGTATATTCTTCCCCATTCTGGACTGTCTGAGTGGGGAGATGCAGAGGCGTTTCACTAAGTCAAACTGCAGTATAATGCAAGGTATACAAGCACTGAACCCTAAAAGCAGAAACTTTTTGGATGAAGAGACCATTTTTAGCTTTGCTAGGATTTATGAATGTGATACTGATGACATAAAACATGAACTGCATTAAGTGAGGAGGGTGTTAGAAAGGAAATTCCAGACTGGAATTGAATTGTCTAGTCTCCTAGAGTTTACCATCTTCCTTGAGCCATTCAAAGAAGTGTTTTATCAGCTTTTTCGTTTGTGCTGCATAGCTGTGGCCTTACCAGTCAGCAGTGCAAGTTGTGAGCACAGCTTCTCTGCACTTAAGCTCATAAAAACACATTTACGCACTACCATGACTGATGACAGACTTAGTAATCTTGGAGTCTAAAGCATTGAGGTGAGGAGAGCCAAATGTCTTGACTTAGATGATTTTGTTAGACGGTTTGCCAGTCACCACCGAAACCGAATCCAGCTGTTTTAGTTGAGGTCTGCCTTCTTTCTTTTTCGACTGTTTTCCTCTCTTTCTGCTACTGTTTTTATTGTTTCTAAAAATGTTCTTAGTTTAATATATTAGCAGAGCACAATGTAATGGTTCCATATTTTATTTTTAAACTGTGGTGTTTTCATTTGAACTGTTACAGTGCTAAAACTTTAACTCTGTGTTACTCAGCTTTTTTTGTAAATTAATCTGAAAGAAATGTTGAATGAAACACTAAGATGTTTTGGCCAAACCATTTGTATTATTACAGTGGGGGGAATTTTGTTTATTTATTATTATTTGAAAGAGATTGTGAATAAAACT